TCAGCAGTGCTACAAAAACGCGTATATAAAATCAACATTTTATCTATTCTTGCAACATTTGTTTTGAGTACTCTATGGTGCTCCCGAATGAGCGCCTACTAAGCATTCGCGTGGCTTCAGAGCGCATGCCTTTTATTCAGCAAATCGTAAGAGATCTAAGCATGATATCTCATGGATAAATGCGCTCTTCGGTGGTTTAAAGTTTCCGACTCGACTGCCGCTGTTTGAAAGCTCAAAGTATTAAATTAATTTATCAAACACGTCTGAACCAACCTTGGATATTAAACTGAAACAAGAAAAAACTTTGCTTCTGTGCATATTTCTGATATATATTTACACTTCACCCTCCAAAAGAGTATTCAAAGAGACCTCAAAGCGTCGAAACAAAAATTGTACAGTGAGAAAGAAAAAATAAATGAGCTCTACGTTCCACATATAAATATGTACAATAAATTAGTCAAAATTATTTTTGCCACGCCCATTAACATGACTTAGTTTGTCTCACCATCTGAACAGCTCCCATGCTTAAATCCATCTTTACTATCTTATTTTCATTGGCAAGCCATTCAAATTTGAATACCGTTGAAATTAGAAATTAACGCTAGAGTCTGATGAGCAAATCTGCTGTTCTACATTGCGTGATCGATCGGGTTCACTATAAAGCATTAAGCCATCGATGTGTTGGATTTTTCATCCCTCAGACCAGTGCCTTAGTCGGCTGAGTGGGTAACGCTGCATTGTGAGTTGCGTGAATGACATCAAAATGGAAGAGATGTAAATTACGGATACCTCACAGCTCAGGAGAGTACACTCTCTTTGACAGAAAGGCCGCAACAACTTAAACAGTTGAAAGCCTTCTCTTTGAAGTCGAATTTCTCAAAACTTTGAAGTTTTAGAGAAATTCGTTTCCCTTGAAGCCAGACAACATCAACATCAATGACCTAGTCAGCGTGGAAATCTAGCGCAGAAACATTGGTACCGAAAGGCGTTACTTTGGATTATAAATATTTCGTAGTCCTCACCGGACGATCAAAGAGTAAGCCCATCATTGCATACCTGCTGGAAGGAGCAGCTGACAGTAACAAATCAGTTGATGGTTATTACAGGTATTCAGAGAAATATTTTTCCAACGATTTATAAACATCCGCCGACAGGTTATTTGTGTGTACCGGGACTCGAGTCCGGATCCCACCGGAATCCAGAACTATAGAGAATTAAATTTTCTATCTGCGGTCGTCTGTAGATCCCTCCATTGTTGGAAAACCATCACGGAGCACACCAAAAATATTGGAGGAGGCATACCAAAGACGCTGAATACCTTATACGACATTAACATAGTACAGGTCCTGATAGAAGAAAACACGGCAGTTTAAAAAAAATTAATTCCGCTTAAGCATCGATACAAAGCTATCATTCCTCAGCGATGCCTATAGCTGTTGTTACCTAAATTTTTCGGAGTGTTCTGTTGCGACTCAAATCGTTTACAAGATAAAGAAGATCATTTACTTCGCAGTTAAGGTTCGCTGATCATAAGGGCACTCCAAGCTTGCAGCTTTGGAACGTAACTCAAGCAAGCTTTAGTCTCGTTTTATTTGGTTGTGCGATGGCCTAATCCATGCCCGGGCGGCAGCCGACTTGGTTTCGTGGCTACCAACTTACGCCATTAGAATCGAATCAAAATTTGCGCACCATTTCTCTGTTTTTTTGCTGCCTAGCGTCAGTTGGAAATACCAGGAAGCCAGGTCCTTCTCTACTTGATCCTTCCAACGGAGTGGAGGTCTTCCTCTTCCTCTGATTCCACTAGCGGGTACTGCATTGAATAATTTCAAAGCTGGAGTGCTTTCATCCACTCGGACAACATGACCTAACCTTCGTAGCCGCTGTGTCTTCGTTCGCTGAACTATATCAATAACGTCGTATGGCTCATACAGCTCATCGTACCATCGTCTACGGTATTCGCCGTTGTCAATGAGCAAAAAACTATAAATCGTTCTCAAAACTTTTCTCATGAAGACTCCTAGAGCCGACTTATCAGATGTTGTCATCGTCTCCTCAGCACCATATTGCAGTACAGCAACGATGAGGGACTTGTAGAGTTTGGTCATCATTGGTCAGGAGAGGACTTTACTTTTCAATTGCCTACTCAATCTTAAAAAAAAAACACCTCTTGGCAAGAGGTATTCCGCGTTGGATTTCCGGTCTGACGTTATTAGTAGTGTTAATGCTGGTCCCTAGATAGACGAGATTATCTACGACCTCGGAGTTATGACGGTCAAGAGTGACATAAGAGCCGAGTCGCGGATGCGATGACTGTTTGTTTGATGACAGAAGATATTTCGTCTTACCCTTCTTCCCTACAAAACCCACTCGCTTCGCGAGAAATTATTATTACTCAGGGTTTCTTTGAATAAAGAAGAAATAATACCGAATATTTATTACAGATTTCAATTTCGAATTGAAATTTCAAATTTCGAATATTTTGCTTAAGCTACCTTCCTTGCTTGTTCTCAAATAAAACATATTGTTTTTATATTAATTTATAAAAATGAATTCACTGAAATAAATCTCTTTCATTGCTTCATATATTTTTTGGGTAAAAAAAATCTTTTCAAATGGCGCAAACCGCACTATTCATTCATTTTCAATGACAGCCAACGGTAATTGCCGCCATTTGTGGATTGCAATGAAATTACGCGACGGTCAAGCTCAGGGAAATATATACAAAGCTCTCGAGTACATACAGACATATGTATACTGTTTATTATGCCGTTAAATACATACTCGTATAAGGCGCATATACAATCTGTATTAATGTTTTGTATTGCATTTGTTGTGGATTTTATAGTTTTCATTATCATTTTTTAATGTCTCATTTTTAATTTATGATATTTTTGTGTGGATGTGCGTGTTGAGTATATGTGTAAGCTTATCGTTTTACCGTTATCGCGCATAAAAAAAATACCACAAATATGTTGATGTTGCCACTAGAACAATGTGTTCATTTTTCTCGAGGGCACATACTTATACTTATGTAAATACATACATACATACATACAGATGTATTTAATTTGCAACTTCCACTTGAAATTTGTTGCAAGTGAATTTTCACTTTGACATACTTATATGTGTATGTGAATGAACATATTTTGTGGTGTTTAATTGTTTTGTGTTGCATACAATGGCAATATGAATAAATAAATAAATATATTTTGTATACAATAAATATGTATAGTTGTTCATACGTGTATGTGGTGTTTAAGTATGTGCATTTTATTTGGATTTTCTACTTGCCCGAAGCATTAATTGCAAAAGCTCAAGTTGTATACTCGTATGTATATATATATATATAGTTATGTATGTGTATTTTGCAAAAATTAAATTATGTTGATCGCCTTTAATTGTTGGCGATAATTTGTTGATGCCTGTTGTTGAAGCTTTCCTTTTTGCATTTACTTTTGCACATAACTCTATTTTTATCGCTCTGCATATTTTATGTTTTGTATGTACGTGTAATTGTGTATATAATACATGTTTATTTACCTTTATCGCATTCAATTTCATTTTGATATTTGTTAACATTTTTCACATTATTCTCACTAGGTTTTGTTTTCATTGGTCGCAGTTGTTGTTGATGGTGTTGTTATTGTCCTATTAATATGCATCACTAGCGAGTGCCATTATGAAGCAATTAATTTTGCATACTGTTCTCTGTTGGTGGCCCATGGCATTTTTCAGATCACTTAAATCAATTTTATTTGTTGAATAATTAAGGTAGATATTGTTTTTATAATACATATACACCTAAATAAAAACACAACTGCTTATTGTGTGTAAGAAAGCTGTTAAATATATACCGTTAATATAATTCTTGAATATATTTTGTTTGAATTTATAGAATAAAGCATAAAACGTTTTGAGAACACTGTGTGCGAAAAATGTACGACAACTCAAATCAGTACTTAATATTATGTTTTCTGTAAGTACACGCACTCCAAAGATGTTGCATATTTCTAGGGGGAATTTTTCTTAATATAATATTTTCAAATTAGACCAAAGGAAGAGGAAGCTCGTAGGATTATTCAAAATACCATTACCTTTTTATGGGATAAAATTGTATTCCGTTAACTTTTATGATACTGACTTAATGTTCGATTTCACTCAAATGCATTTAAACTTTTTCGTAACAACCTGGGAACCTCGTGAAGAGCACGTTAAAAACCGATACGTGCTCAAACCGATTCCGATCGGCGTTAATGTAAATTGGGCATAGCATACTAGATGTATTAAGATAGGACACACTAAAATTTTTTGAATACACTCTAATGAATTATATAACTCGGTTCAAATTAATTCATTTTTGCAAAGCCAACTCTATTGGATTTTTGGGTGCATGAGGTGTACAAAGCCAATACAGTTGGTTTTTGTGAAATAATTTTAAACATTTTTAAATATTTTTATAGCTTTACCCTGTGATTTTAAAAGCTAAAGTCCCATATCAAAGTAAAAAGTGGAACGTTAAACACAAAAGTGTGAGCAAATTTTATCACGTCCGAAGTTTCTTAAAATTGCCGTGGATGTTTGGATATGTGAGGTGCGCAATACCGAAATAGAAGAGAGAATTCTCCCAATTGGAAATTTTTTTTTAATTTTTGATAGGCAATATATATTAAAACTACTGGATAATATATATTAAAAATATTTCCAGTATGAATCTTTCTTTTTAAACACTCATAACATATTTCTGGACAAAGCAGATGTTATGGTTGACTGACCGAAAAACATAAGTAAAATAAATTTTTTTCTTTTTCGTGATTTACTCAAAACAATTATAGGTATAAGAAATATACACATATTGACAAATCATTTTTTGGGTATTTGCGGATATTTGTTTCATCAATAGCCAAAGTTACTTTCTATTTTTATATTGGAAACTGAAACACTTGGAACTGATAGTAGGGGGCAGCCAAGTCGCTTCCAAAATTTTAGTATTTGCCAAGGAATTGAGGAATCTGTTATCATTCAGTTCTTATTTATTTTTCAATAACAATAAAAATAGAAATAAGTTCGTAAGAAACTCTTAATTAAATCAATTTTGTTTAGAACCGCATTTCCCCAAAATATTTCTTTAAGCAAGCTCAACTTCCATTGACTCCTCGGAGGTGGTAGTTTCATGGCTTATTTTACTTTCCACGACAGTCGGAACGTCACCAGCTGAAGAGTTAAATATTGAAGTAATAATATCCCTAATTTTCGCCCTTCCCGAACGTGGTGCACTCGCAACTTTGTAGTTGCTCGATGCATCATTTGTTGGTGGTGTTTCGAAGGTGACACGTGATCTTTTGCGTTGCGGACCTCTCTTAGGTGGACTTGGTTCGCCTACAAATTCGTCGTCTACGATTGGGTCACTATCACCGGTGCTTGCAGCATCGCTGCCTGTGGCTGAAGCTGTGCTGCTTGTGCCACCGCCATCGCGTTGGGAGGATCTAAATTTGTTGAAGGTGAAATGGTATTAATACAATTTTTGCTAAAATTACTACACAACTTGCCTACTGCTTGCGCCGCTTTGTGTAGCATAAGGATATCTATCGTACAGGTAGGTCAATAACATGCAGATGATCAGTATGGGAAAGAGTAGTATGAGTATGCTGAAAGCGCCAATCCAGAAGCCATGCTGAAACAAAAAGATTACTAATTTTTATGACAAATTTAGTATTTTAAATTGATTTAATATTTTACCAAGGATCGCTCAATACATTCGTAGAGGTCTCGTGGTATGCCGATACTTGACATTTTGAATTCCCTGCAACTGGGCATGTATGCCACATGACTCATGTATAACATCATTTCCAAATCGAAATCCATTAAAAGGCGTTGCGTTTTATTATTTAGCAAATCCTTGAATTTCAACTCGAAGAAATCATGTAACTCACGCATTTCACTCAAGCTTCTACCCAACAGCGCACGCATATCCGTCCGGTTTAATTGCGCAGCCAACAGCTCGGCATTTTTCGAGAGCTCATTCACTTTCTCAAAAATACTTTGCATCAGCAGCGTATCAAACAAATGCGTTCTCATCAAATGCAGATTGCACGCCAACATTTTCTCATAGAAAACGGTTTTATTGCTGCCAATTGGTCCCTCCACGACGGACACATGTGCGCTGAGCAGCTCGTACGCCTCATACCAACTCTCCATATTCAATTCCTGTTGCACAACCCGAAACATGGCGCCAGAATTAAAAACGCCGGCACTGAAGTTTGCAAAATGCAACATTTGCAATATATTCGAAATGCCAGCCTCGCTTGGGAGTGCTGCACGCAGCGTCTCGTAGACACGTTGATTTTGAATTTCCATTGCCGTATATGTCTCCGCATCGTCGCCGTAAATGCTCTGTCCGAGTGTTGAGAGAATTTTATTTTGTGCATCGCAATAGGGTTTGGTGTCCAGACCGCAGTGATTATCGAGGCGCTCACTGTAGTAGGGAGGGATTATAAGTTTTCGTTAAATAATTTTATTATTCAAGAAATTTGGGTTTCAGCAGCTACTTACGTGTCTTGCCTGAAATTATAGAACGATGTGCCCACAAAGAAGCTCACACAAGCAATCAAGCAGAGTATTATGGATGTAAGGCATATGAAAACAACAATGCTGAAAGTAAAAACATTTTGTGTCATTTTCAATGTTGCAAAAAAAAACAAAAAAAGAAATTCGCCTTCGGTTATTAGAATTCGAGAGTGATGAGAAACAAAGAGCGAGAGAGAGAGAGAGAGAGAGAGAGAGAGAGAGAGAGAGAGTGGAAGAGATAGTAGAACGGGTTCTTCGAAAGTTGAATGAAATTCGTAGAACTTGGATGAAAATGGATCGGTCTTACTTAGGTCGGAATAAGGCTTATTTTGATCATACGGTTTCTTGGTCCTAACGCTTTGCTGACCTGAGAATGTTAGTTATCTTGAATTGTACAACAAGAAAGGCAATCCCAAGAGTTGTAAGCCCAAAACTACACAGCTCGTCGTGATCGTTTAAAATCATCCTCTGCCTGGTATCGGTCTGCCAGAACCTTAACTTTAACCTTGAATATTTCATTTCTTTTCCGATCACTTAACCACCAGGTTTTTTCATAGATAACGAGCAAGTCGTTTTGCTTGGTCCCTAGGAGCCCCTGTCAAAAATAGTCATTTCGTTTTACTATCGCTAACAGAGATCAAAAACGGTTCAGACAGCACAATTTTGGAGTATTAATAAACTAGTAAACGTTTGCATTGACGATTGGCTGTTGCTGAGATTTTCACTGTCTTTTTAATTTGATTTCAATTTGCTTTATTGCCGCATCTCTATCAGGTGTATATGGTAGTCCATTGCGTCCATTCCTTGCCGTCGAAGACCAATTTACTGGTAGCTTGGTATGAGAATGATTCTTTGAAGTATTTGAGACTGCGTTAATAGTTAATTACTTTTAAGGTCTGCATACCCCAAATCGTGGCACTTAGGTTCTATCCCTTACTAGCAGCTCTATCTGCTTGTATGGAGGGCGGTAGAAGCCTGCTAATGTACAATGTTTAGTCGAAGACCAAATTATATTTTACTTGAGGCAAGGCCAATACAAATTTTTTTGTAGCTCGCCTTTAAAGAGCACTTGCTCCAATATTGTATGGTGATGGGTAGCATGACATTGTTACCATCTCAATCCGGTTCTATTAGGAGGGAGTTCACCATCTAAAAATTTCGGTACTTGTCACCCTTTCAGCAACTGATTAATAGCAGTTAAGTTGGTAAACGCTGACTAGTAAGCTTTCCAAAGCGGCTTTAAGAGATGTTTAAACTATAAATGTACCCATTTTCCGGTTGATTAATATTTCAAAAGGCATGCTCATAATTTTAGAGCAAACTTTTTAATAGTCCAATAATAATTGTATTTTCCCGCCTTGCAAATAGCCGAAGATTTGGAAAGGAAAAATTATTATTTTAAGCGCCACGCATGAAAATTAAATTCCTTCGCTCTGGCAACGCTTAATATATGCAAGCTTTGAATTTCCCACCAACTTACCTCACTAAAATATATTTACTCTTCTTAAAACGCATATAAACGGTGTGGTAAACAGCATAGCCGAGTTGAAGCCAACACAGCAACGAGATCTGGTAAAAAAAAATAAAAAAAAAAATAAAAGTTAATAAATTAATAGAAAATATTTGAAAACTTCTCACACCTACCATCATGGCGATTATTAAAAAAAATAATTGATATGAATAAATATCATTTGGCAAATGTATCGTAACATCCTGCGGTAGATCCCTTTTGAGTTTATTTATAGCTTCGGTCATCGCTAAATAATTTCCATTCATTTCCTTTACTTTTTCTTGCCACAAATTTGTAAAATACGCCGCATAAAAATTGTGTAAGTCTGCCAAGCTTTTTACGAAAGCTTCTCGTAAGCGTGGCAAACCAAGCGACATTTCAACTATGTCTTCTATATTTGACAATACTCTATCGATGTTAAGCAGCTGTTGGAGAATGTAGAAAAATAAGCCTTTTTTATATAAATAAAATTTATGATATAAAATTTAAATTCTACACAAACTCCAATTGGATTTTCGGGAAGCAGTATTATGAAATAATCACAGCTTCTAAAGTCCCGGTATCTCTTGTATAAATCGAATTGAATGTTTTTTGGAAACCACTATTATTTTACGTTATAACATCACTTCGAAAATACAAATATTTAAAATTCTGTTTAAAAAACTCTCAAAACTATTTGTCCATTTTGGACGTTCATTAAATCTTTTAAAAGTTTCCGTAGAACTTTTCTTAAATTCATTTCATCTAAAAATCAAAGCTCTTAAAGAACTCATAAACCATTTAGAGCTTTCAAAAGTTAACATAAAGCTTTATAAACCCAATTGGTAATTTCTGAATACAATTATCTGCCGCGATAGCCGAGTGGTTAGCATTCGGGGTTTAAAATCCTGGTACGACTAACATCCAAAAGTTATAGAAAGTTAATTTGAAAAAAAAAATTAAGGTAAAATTTCTAATTGTGATCGCCGCTCGACAGGGAATTTCAACCCTTCCGAGTGTACTTCTGATATGAAATCAAGGTTCCTCATAAAAAAAACCATCAGCCGTGCGGAGGCGGACAATCATCAAAACCAAAAGCCACAAATTGGAGGAGCAGCTCGGCCGAAATTCCCTTCAGCGGTTACAAAGCGCCAGTTATATATAATTATCTATTGAAAATTCCTAAAATCTTTTCACGCCCAATCTCTATTACTATTTTGAATAAAATTTTCCACTTTTTCGAAGTTAATCTACTGTTCCTCGATTCGTCAAAATGCTTTCGATCTCTTCTAAAATTTGCGCTCTAAAAAACCAACTGACGCTTTAAAATTATTTTAATCCAACTGGAAATTTATCTAGATTCAATTTTTCATGTCATTACCGTCATAATTTTTAGTATATTTCCCTGCATTTCATTGCTAATTAAATCCCTATACTTTGGATCTGATATATTGCGCAGAAGCAATAAAGTTGTGGTGTTTCTATAGAAGAATCTGGTCACTAAAAAGAGAAAAACAAAATAAATTAAAATGTATTTGAACTTCGGTTTTTTTTTTTTTTTTTATTCCGAACATAATATTTACGCACGATCTGTAAGCTGCATAATATCAGCTAGTAGAACCTGCATGTCCTTGCGCATATCCTTAATGATGGGTTGAATTATGGCACACTCCGCCGAGATGTCCAAGAGCATACTTCCAGCAGGATTTTTTATTATAAGCGGTGCGGAGGCATTTAAGCTCATTATCATATCTGGAAAAAATATATATCTTTTAAATTTCTCAACTTTTATTTAAATAACAACACCATTAGCTAGTTGCTTCATAAACTCCTGCACCACGTCCGAGTTCTCGGTCGTGATATGATCGATTACGTCCAAAGTCTGATCGTAGAGCAGACGCACCAAGTTGGCATTATTTTCCAAACCGTAATGACTTCGCGTGGGATGATTTTGATGGGACTTGTATGTGAACCACACAAAAAAGCTGGAAAAGAAAAACACAGAGATGTGGAGTAAAATAACTATAATAAGCAAATCTCCTTACCTATAGACGATTTTCAGCAAAAATAGCACCGTTGAAAGCACAAAACGCCAAGATGGCACCGGCGATTTCTCAAATCGTCTGATGCGTTTCGGTCGAAATTGTAGACAACACCAGATGACGCAAAGAATGGGCAGCAACGCTGTATACGTTAAGAGTGCTGTAAGCCAGGGGAATTGCGCAAAGTAGTCGCGCCAATCGTTGTTCAGCAGCTTGTAGCCCAAACCGGTGCAATTAACGTATTCTGGAAAATATTAGTTTTCAATAGCAAATTCGTAGAAGAAAACAGTTTTCTACCTTCGGTGAGTTGTCGCGGCAAATCAAGAGTCTCTCTAGTTGCAAATGCTTCAATAATCGCCCGCACCGACAAGGGTAGGCCACAGAGATCACGATTTGAATAGGGCACAACTGGCAGTGTTTTGAAAACAGATAATTTCATACTTTTTTTCTGATTTATTTTTTATTCTTTGCAAAACTTAGTTTTTTTTAACTGTTAACGTCGAGTTGGGATTTAAATTAAGGAAACCAGTTATAGCGCCTTTGAATAACAACTACCAATTTTCTCCCCTCTAAAAACACACGCGATTTTGTAGTAAAAAAATTTTGAAGTGAAAAATTTGTGTGTTTGAAGTTTTCGAATATTCGCTACGAAAGATGATGTGAAAATGCTTTCAAAAATCAAATACAAATACAGCAAGTGAAGTGAATATTAGGCAAAGACAAAGAAATAAATCGGAAAATGTAAGAAAATTATCGAAAATGTTCATGGGAATCGTCGAGTCGAGTCGAGTGACCGTCAGGTGCTAAACATTGTACAAAATCGACCCATTCTGAAGCGGACGATGACTGGTGATGAAAAGTTGATCACTTAGAGCAGCATCAAATGAAAACAGTGGTGGTCGAAGGACAGTGAGCCGGCACCAATGGTATATATGCCTGAATTGATGGCCAGAAGAAATTCTTTGTGTATTTTGCCTAGGCATAATCCACTATGAGCTGCTGCCCCACGGCCTTTGCTGTCAGCAATTACAAAGAAACGCCCGTAAGTGTCCAGCTTGACCAAAGATTCATAATCAGTTCAAGGACAGGCCGCAGACATCGATAGTTCGCCAGATGCTTCGAAAGCTTGGTTGGAAGGTTCCTATACATTTTCCTTATCGTGCGGACCTCACACCAAGTGATTACCATCTATTCCTGTCTAATTATTTGGCTGATGAAGAATTGATCTCAATAGAAGCCTGTAAAAACCGATTGTCCCAGTTTTTTTGGCAGTATAAGCAAGGATTTCTGTGGGGAGTCATAAGGACTTAACGTTAGAAAAGGCAAAAAGTTATCGAGTTGACATAAATCGGGTTATCCTAATTATGGCAAGTAAAGCCTTCATCTTATTGCAAATAAAGCGAACTTCTTTTTACAAGACCGATATATTTGAGTTAGTTTTACACTAATAAATTATATTTAGTACCAAATTATATTAATCTTTTCGTTTTCATAAATTTTCAAGGAAATATTTTTATCTTCTTTGAATATATGGCTTAACAGCAATGTTTTCAGAGACCTCTTCAGGTGATGCCCAGATTATTGCATTTCACTATTTCCCTAGCCTTCAACGCTATTTTTCAAATAGATGGCAACTCTCTCATTTCGCTTCCTTACTTCGAACGTTCTATTTTATTTATATTCGTTTTACAAAGTAAACATTTCACTGAATTATAAATCTTCGTTTCACTTCCTCTCACATTTTCCTGGAGACGGGTATGTGACCAATGGCTGGCGATCCTTGGGCCCTTGGAATACCATTACCGTTACCGTTTTGTCTTTTGTAGTGCCACCACCAACTAATTGTGCCTCCGTTATGCCGCTGCTGCCGGCGCAATCCACTTGAGTTCTACTTTGACATTTTAACGGTAAAATAACGCCATCATTTCGATTTTGATTACCTGCATGCATTTGTTGTTGGGGACATACAACTGGTGCACACGGTTGGCAGCCAAATGGACCCATAGCTGGTGGTATAAAGTTAACTGTATTGATCAACGGTGTGCCGGTGCTCGCACTCGCACCACTAAGAGGTTCACAGTAATTCATAGCATTTGTTGGTTGAGCACCTTTCATATCCACAATACAGTCTTTATCTTGCGTCGTTGAGTAAGTTGCTTTATTCACAGCCTGTGGACAGGGAGGTTCGCTTCCAGCTGCTTGCGATTGCGCATGCGCATTGGATAGAGCGCGCGCTTGCGGGCCAGACAAAATTGGCGGTCCACGTTTGTAAAATTTGTACAGCAACAAGCTCAGTATCATGGCTAGAAAGAGTGTTAGTACTAACAAAGCACTGCCGATGGCGTAGATCATCTGAAAAAATAAAGCGAAAAGTTTAGCAACAAAAGTTATGCCTGAGTCTCTTCTATACATACCAGCCAATCCTCGCGGCAACCACACTTCGTATCTTGGTCCGCATCCCGCAGCGCTGGCGTTAAAATTTCGGTGTTCTCACTGTGTTGGTACTTAATGGGGCATGAACTAACTTCTTCTGGAAAAGTCTTTCCGATTTTATCTTTCAAAACTATAAATAGATTATCCCTTGATAGTTTATAGAATTTATCAAATGCATCCAATTCGCTTTTAACGCTTTTGAGAACATCCATAAAATTTTCGAAACCGTCCAGAAGTGCGCGATGTTCTAATTTTGTAAGCGCCTCGTGAAGCATTTTGGCGATTGGCAAAAACCTCTGTTCGTATAAATCATTTTTAATTGCATTTGGTATTGAATTTAATTTGCATAAAAAGTTATTGCCCTCGCCTTTGCCAATCCCATTATGTTCCTTCATGAAATTCTTGAGTAGTGCAATGTCTTTCTTGGTTAGAAAATGCGGGATATCGTCCTCAAACCATTTCTTCTGGAGGTAAATGTCTTTCGAGCTCAGCAGACCGCCTCCACCAGTGAAATTCCAAAAAATATTTCTTGGTAATACGCGTTCAAGTTTATTGAAAAACTCTTCTTGTTTCACATAATCATGGGTATTGGAAAAATTAAGCGAACTCCTTTCGTCGGCTACACCAACCGGAGGGCACTTAGGTGGCGAGGCTAAGCGATATGCTCTTGGAGCAGTGGAAAGAAGTAAGAGAGGGAGAGAAATACGAGATATTACCATACAAAAAGATAAAACGAGCAAAGTATTAAAAAATTAGTGAAATAAAATAAATAAAAAAAAAATAAAAAATTGAAAAGATATGAAATAATATTCATAATTTATATTAAATAAAAAATAAATCAACATTAAGTAAAGTAAATAAAATAAAATAGCAGAAAAGAAATATAGAAAAACAAAACAAAGTAGTATAAAAAAATAAATTAAATTCAAAAAATTTTAAATTATATTATACAAAATAAATGAATAAAACAAAATAAAATAAAAATAAAGTAAATAAATAAAATAAAACAAAAATAAAATATATAAAAATATAATATAAATAAATAATATAAATATAACATAATATAAATAAAATTTAAGAAATAAAAATAAAGTAGAATAAAATAAAGAAATAAAATAAACTGGTATAAAATAAAATAAAATAAAATAAAATAAAATAAAATAAAATAAAATAAAATAAAATAAAATAAAATAAAATAAAATAAAATAAAATAAAATAAAATAAAATAAAATAAAATAAAATAAAATAAAATAAAATAAAATAAAATAAAATGAAATAAAATAAAATGAAATAAATTAAAATATCTAAAATAAAATAAATAAAAGAAAAGAAATGAGAATTAAATAGGTAAACTAAATTTAATTAAAAAAAAATTTAAAAAAAATTAAAATTAAGCAAAATTAAATTAAATTAAATGTAATAAAAAATATACTCACGACAAATTACTTTTGTGACAAATTCCCGTATGCAATACCATGGTGAACAAAAAATGTAAAACAGAGAGTACTCCTAATATACCAATCGTCAAAACATTGAGGAAAAAGAAGCTAAGATAATCAAAAAAAATCAATAAATAATATATAATAATAAATTCTGCGCCAAAATTGTTTTACGCACAATTTAAGCAGACAATTTGCCTCTTCATAATGACGAAAAATGCCAAAACCAACCGCCATGAGCAATATGTAGGTGAGCTATTGGAAATGGTAAAACAGATATTCAAGTATACGAAACGAAAAAAAAACTAATTTTTTTATGCGCACCGCAGCATTGAGAAAAAATGCAGCCATTGCCAGATAGAGTATGATTTTCGGTATGCTTATGCTGTCTGTAACTGTGGAACTGTCTCTAGATGCATCCCGCGATGTTTGAGCTATCAAAGAGGAAAATATTAAGCAGATAAATATATTTTTTTTGCTGTTTTAATTTCACCTTTAAATATCATACCGCCTTCATTCGGGTTGGCGGTAAGCTCTGCAAGGGAGTTTTGTAAGTGTAATATATTTTCAGAGGCGGATAATAAGTGCTCCAGATATTCATATAAATATGCGAATTGTAGATATAGTGAGTGCAACTAAGAGGGGAAAAATGTTTAAAAAATAGTGGACTTTATATACATATATCTGTGCATTCACTTACATGCCACACATTTATTCTCTTCTCCTGAGGCACATTCAATTCTTTAAGTGCTGTATTGTTGGCGCTTGTTCTTAGAAACATCATGGTCTCACGGGAAAATATGCGAAATACTTAAAAAAAAAAACTCTCAGAGCATTTTTCTTATCATGTGCATATTAAATTAACTCACAATCATCCATTTCTACACCAAATATCACTAGCTTGAGCGCATAGTCACGGAGCACTTTTACAGCTGGCCTGAAGTGCTCTCGATTGTTGTATAGATATTTGAGTGTCTGCAAATTCTTATGCTCCTTATGTGCCAAATCCTGCAGCCACTCAATTAAAACTGCAAAAAATACGATGAAAATTAGAAAATTTTTTCAATTGTTGAAACACAAACCCTCAGCCGTCGACTTGCTAACTCTATTATCCAGCGTTTCGCTGTTAGATTTATATTCTACTGCTCTTAGTTTCGAATTGGTCTCAATTTTCTGGTGTTCTAAATTCTGAATAGTAGAGTTATTTATGTCTCTATAATCCTTGACGTTATCCTTAATTCTTCGTAGTAAATAATTTGTACGAAATGTCATGTATAGGCCAGTGCTAAAGCGAAAAGAGAAAAGCATCGTTAGAGGTATAAACTTAAAAAATTATACAATCCACAACTCACGCAAGCGGTAGCAACAACAATATCAGTAGCAAAGTGATAAGGCAATGACAGCAGCGATTTTTTATCTTTCGACATTTCTGCAGACCTTTGACCTTACAGCAAAGCCAAAATAACCTTAAAGAGTTTAGATTTAGCGTTTTTAGCACACTTTTATGTGGCGTATATTAGGTAAGCTCATTTTCTTGCCCTCACAATAAAACTGCCGTCACTGCCGCTGCAATCAACAGCCCAAACAACATTGGGAACTCCACTAACAATGGAAACCAATCATATTTAACGACACGTGGTCCGAAATGCTCATTTTCAACATAGCCATTTGGTAATTTATCCAGAGAAAATGTCGAAAAGGCCCAACCGGAAAGAGACATGAAAACTTTCGCCAAACCACAATCGCCATCATAATGATATTCAGCGTAAAACTTCATTATTTAAATTAATAATTTTGCACTATTTTAATAGCCATAAATTTATCAAAAATAAAAGGTTTTTAATTAAAAATAAAAATTGTCAAGAACTGATTTTTTTGTTTTTTTTTTCAATTTTTTTACATTTTCTTTGCTATAATTATTATAGTTTAAACTACGCCAAGGCAAATTTACAGAAGGTTGTATCATATATTTGGTTATAAGAAAAAATAAATGATTTTCAAAAGAATTTTAGTATTCGCTGCTTTAATTTCCTCTGTAAGTTGAATCTAATCCACATAAAAACTTCATTTCCGCTGTCTTATATATATTCCTGCCACTTTCACTGTCATCATAAGAAGAGCTCACAATCATAATTTGCGGTACTATGCCACTTCCAGCTCTCTTACTCACGATCACTATTTGCTTGACTTTATTCTTCCAGTGTCCGTCGTGATCAACAATGGCAAATATCTCGCTCAAACTCAACAGTCTTGGATCATGAATATCTGGTCATTGATAGATCTAATCAGTTCCCTGATGGTAGGCTGCAGTCTTTCACGCAGTCATGCTCTACAAAACCTTAGATGAGCCTACTCATTGGGATTGTCCCTAAGAACTGGCGTAGGCTGTGGGTACACTATTTTTGGGAATGGGGACTAGGTATGTAGAAATTCGATGCATACACCTTATCAGTTCGGTAAATAATAGGCTTTCACCGCTTTGTCATTCCTTAAGGGAACTTCATCATAGTCGGTTAATGGAACGCCTACGCCGTCGTCATCGATTGAGGTTTCGGTTTCGCCATCTTCATGTCTATCACCCAGTTACGTAGGTGAGAAAAGTTTACCATCTATAAAATCGATGTACTCTGAATGTCGGACCCTCTTTCTCATGCTCTAACTGAAAAAGTTCTCTCTGGAACTTTCTGAAAAATGCCTAATTTTTTATATAACTTTCAAGTATTTCCCCTGATGCTTGTTTCCTAGAGTTTTTCATACTCAGTCTTTTGCTTTTTTCCTGTGAAACCGTCTCGCCTTCCTCCTCAACTCTCGATTAGCGAACAGTCCCACAGTTTACTTATGCAGGGTTGTGGGTGAGTGCCTTCAGAGAATAAGAGTATAAGCCTAGTTAAAGCTTTTTGATGGTCTGTTGTGATTGCAGCTGCTCAACATCGAGCCTTCCCTATGCTTATTGATGCGCGCTCTTGGCTGAACAGAGGCGAAAATGTATCTTTACATTAACAATATAAAGATCTGAGTCGTTTTTGGACATGCCGTCCGTTTATCACAACATTATGAATCTGGTGTTGAGTTTTTCGATCTGGAGAAAACTAAGTTGTTTGATGAATTTTCTCTTGCGGGAGTCACGGAGTCTCTCTCTCACGGAGTCTCTCTCCCACCACCACATGCCTGACAAGTAGTAAGAATCGACGCGACTGTAACTGGTTACCCGGGAACTTGACTTTACCTATTATATCCCAACAAGCTATTATTTTTTATCTTGAAAATTAATTACGTTTCACTTTGCAATTTATAAAAATTAACGTTTGGGACTGACTACGTGTAAAAGAGCAAAAATATTTAATTACGCAAAATTTCTGAGGATGCTTTTCCTTTGAGAAAAATGAGTCTCAAACCTACCGGAAAATTAAACAATTTCCAGCACTACTTTTTATTTCAGACACGTTTGCTAGTGTCAAATAAATAAATGCACATTTTTTTAATATTGGAATATTTGCTTGAAAGAAGAAATATAAGGAAGCTTTTACATAAATATTTCAAAAATTGTCAATTACGCGTGTATTTTGGAAAATAACAATAAAAAATTATATAAAACTGAGTCAAAAAAAAATACATGAATTTAACCATCGAGTTATTCCAAAATCGTCGCGGATATTGTGAATGCAACAACAACACTGAACACGAAACAATTGCCGCGAGAGTTGATCGAAGGTTTGTTGAAAAAATTGTTAGTCGTAGATTTTTGAGCTTAGTTGATATGTGTATTTATTATGAGACACACATTGTCTGTTTCAGACTATTTTAAGTGCAATGGTTTCACACGCTCATTACTCAAAGCCGATTGGAGCAGAGAGCTGCAGGAGTTTCCCGCTCTATAAGCAATTATTTGCATATCCCTAATCATGAGCTTGCTTGGGTAAGCAAATAAGTATTATCCATTTTTATTATTGTTGGCTAAAATTTTCTTCCAGCTGGGCTTGGTTCATTTATGAGCCGAAAACCGCATTGAGCGGTTGCTGTACATGTTGCTGGATTGTGTCCTTTAAGTAGCATCCCAATAGGAACTGCTTACACAGCAAAGCATTCTGCTCCCTAACTCGTAGCATAGATGCTTTCCTGTGCAAGTGATGCTCCGGCGAGATCAGGAGGTGTCCTGTCGCGGTCCTGAGGGCGGTGTTCTGGCAAGCCTGTAGCTTCTTCATCTGCGTCTCGTTCGTTCCCGGCGCCCAGATCGGTGCAGCAATTGCTTTATAAGTAGCCAGCAAAGTTTCTTTGTCTTTACCCCAGCTGCTGCCGGCTAGCGCTTTGAATATTTTGTTGCGGCTCTGGAGTTTCGCGGCAATCGCGGTCGTATGCTGAGTGAAGGAGTGCAGGCTATCTAGGGTTACTCCCACTATTTTTGGGTTATTTACCGTCGGAATTTTTGTGTCATCGACCTTCACATCTAGTTCTAGCCTGTACTCCTTCGTCCAGCTGGTGAAGAGGGTAGCCGAGGATTTCGTCGGTTGAATTCTTAGCTGTCTTACAGTGAAGAAGTGGGAGAGATCAGCGAGGTAGCCGTTCACTTTCGAACAGAGGTCATCAATATCCGGGCCAGACGCCATTATCGTACAATCATCGACATAAGAGGTTAAGGAAACTCCTTCTGGTGGTGGAGGGAGTTTCGAGATGTAAAAATTAAACAGTAGCGGGGAGAGGACACCACCCTGCGGAACCCCCGTTTAATTTTCCTGGGTTTAGATGTTATATATATATACTTCTTATACTCTCCCACGCTTACGCTGTAGTTCTGCTCAGGAGTAATCTAGATTTAATAGTTTTCTCTTTGATTCTTCGTCCGACCAGAATTCGTACTCATGACCTTCCGCATAGTAGCACACAATGTCGGTTTATATGTATTCATTAAAATCCGGCTTTAATTTGCGAACATATTCATACAAATTATTCTCCTTAAAGCTACAAATGCAACAAAAATTCAAGCTAAAAAAATTAATTAATTTTTAATTCTATAACAAACTGCATTAAATGAACTTTGAGGTCAGCAATTTGCAACTGCAAAATTTTGATAAATATCCAGCTAAAAGCAAAGTACAAATCCCTAAACAGTAATTAATTACCGTTAATATACTAAAGTTGCCAGCAATGTATTGTTGATAGAGAAAAGACAAAAAATTTCAATACTCCAGCCTGTTTACCTGCCACACATGGAATATATTGCCCAGAGCATGTGTTGAGCTGGCTAATCTCTGAATTTGTTAGAGAAAAAAAATGAATTTATGCAAATTTGAAAAATAGAAATTGGAAAAACGAAAATTTATGATTTTCCCAAGCAATGAATCCCTGCAGAGTGCAAAGCATGGACAGAGTTAATGTTGCTAGCAAATGTTACACACAAGAAAAATGCAAAAACAAATTTAATTGAAGTCACATTATTCTCGAGAATTTCCTACCAAAATATTGGACAATACGAAAAATGTGTGAAAATATAATTACGTCTGCGGGGTAAGAAAGTGAAATCAATTGGGAATGTAATAAATTGTGAATTGTATGGAAATAAATAGTAGCTGTGCATATACACTCAAACATTTAATTTGCAACATCAGAAGCGTCCAACTATGCAGCTTTTAAAGCCTTCAGCAAACCACAAGAGGCCAGCAGGAGCAGGTGAAAGAGTGATGAGTGAGAAGTTGCTAAAGAAAAGACACTTTAATGAAAACCCATTTCAATATTCAATTATACCACAAACGAGGCAGCGTAGCCATCAACAGTGACGCACAGATATGCCATATATCCTTGCAATGCATACCTGTGTACAGGCAACGTATGCTTGTGACTACGCTCACTTGCCACCTTTGCATGCCATGTGGAAAATCTTTACAAATTGCAGTCTTCTGTCATGCAAATCTGAGTGGGCGCTTCATCAGCTGCTTGACGGTATTAAACTTCGTTTGTGCTACTACCACAATATTTCCATCATACAACACCACGCCGCCCATGCGGCAAGTTAACTGCAATGCACCGCACTATGCCTTAAATGCGCAGCTTCAGCTTCAGCGCTTCAACTAAGAAAAGCTACTCGTCATCACCTTATTCTACGAGTATATACCATATTTTTCACCGCCACGCCGTCTCATCTAACGCATATGCCACAGGTTATTTGTTGCACACTTTGTTATTGAAAATTTGTTTGTTATATCTAATAAATCATTTCATTGAATCATCAACGCGTTTTTGTTGCAACAATGGGTTTCCCAAAGTGAGGTTAGTTGCTGTCTTCGTCTTGGCATCGGCAGGTCTAAAGTGCAGTTGTATATATACATGCATATGCGAATATATTAAGGCGTATTTTTATTAAAAAACAACAAACATAAAAAAGTTATTTGCGAGAAAATAAAATATAAAAAAATATCAAACAATGTTGAGGAATTAACCGATATTTGGATGGACTTTTCATAATATTTACGTTAACTTTTATATTGAGCTTGCCAAAAGATATAAATAAATTGGGCGTTATTACATTTACAAGCAGAGTATAAAGCACTGTTATATCTACTGTTATATCAGCGGCAACGTCCAACGACAAATAATCCAAAGGATCCAAGTACTGATTTGACTCTACACACCTCACATACCCAAAAACCCAAAGATTCCAATATTTATTAAGCTTTGCGTGCCTCATATCCCCACAAATCCATGGGCAAGCCATCATTGATTTATCTTTATATATTACTCATAACTGCAAAACCGAAAACCCCCAATATTGATTTATCAATGCGCAACTCACATACACAGGAGCCCAAAGGACGCCAATGCTCATCCAGGTTTGCACACCTCACATACCAAAAAATCTAATGACTGATGGGCAAATAAAGTTACTAGATTTAAAAAAGAATTGAAAACGAGACTCTCTTGATAATTTTTGATGTCGCTAACGTGCCGGAAGTGATTGTAAGAGCTTAGATACTGAAATTTACTTCGATATCTCAGAAGTGGAATACCTGCTAATCTGAAACGAATTGAATTTAAAAGGTGAAAACCCATTTATATTCCAAAAAAAAATATTGGAAAAATGTGATTTGATATTTTCTTCGTCTTCATTTCTCTAAAATACGCTTTACTTATTCATACGCATTTTAAGATTCGAGCTTGACCCCACAAGCTCACAGTCAGTGGGTCGACGAGGACAAGACGAGACATGCCAGGCAATCACTTAGTTTGTATCGGCAATCAAAATGCAATTATTTAACGCACAACAATTGAATAAATGCAAGAATTCAAAAAAGAAGACAGCAAAGGGGAAAGCCTACATAGTGGTATCCAGCAGCCACTCTTCAACGAATGCGTCGTAACAAGAAATTTTATCGGTGCTCTGACATGGACTTAGTGGAATAGTCGTGGCTTAAAATAAAAGCAAAGCATCAAGAATATGCATAACATATGCACAAATATTTGAGCAGTGTGTAGCAACATTTTTCAAAATTGTAGCGATTGTAAATTTATGAATTACAATTGCAAATCATAGTTGTGCGGAGAAAACGGCGAAAAAAATGTTGGGCAAAGAAAGATTCCATCTGCTCGAACCACAAAGAGTCGGCGGCAACAGACAGTTGTAGCTGCAAACTAGACAACAATTGCGAACAACAACGCAAGGAACAACGACTTTCTGAGCATGTGGGCAGCTAAACGAACGGTGTGGCATGTAGGTTTGCTGGGAAGGCTGGAGATCAACATAGATGCATATGAGCGGTGAAACTCATGTTGCTGTTACACAAATAAAAATGCAAAAACAACAATAAAAGGTGAACAGAAATTGCGTGCAACAATCAGTAGCGACAACAAGTAGCAACAGCAAAAACAGCAGCAGCAAGGAAATAAAGCACCATTTTCAGGTAGCAAATTGGTGCATTTTACCGTGAATTTCGCTTTCTGATTTGATTTCAATTCGCATGTTGCAACAGCAACAACTGAAATGTTTTCCTCCCAGCATTTTGTTGCTTGCGTGGGCGCCAACAGAAGCAAAGATCTTACTAAAACAACGGTTGTGGTTGAAGTTAAATATGCACAAACAGCAACAACAACAACAACAAGCAATAGATAATTGTTGCAGCAGAAACGGTGAACAAATGAACAGCTCTAGCATAAACAACAACAAAAACAACTACAGCAAGCAATGAAGCAACATCAACAGGCAATCGTCTCGAACGCCCAAAAATTTCGCAATCATTGCAGACTTTCTAACTCCCCGTGTGACGTTAACAACGCAGAGTGTGTTGGCTGCGCTAACGAATTTTTGCGGAGGAGCTGACAACATAAACAAATCCCAAATTCGCAATCATCACACTGTAGCCTAACTGTAATGGCAACAGCATCAGCAACTACAACTATACTAACGCTTCTTCCTGCTCCCAGACACACACACACACACACACACACACACACCCAACTGCACACATGAGTGTGACTCTTACCGCCACTTTGCATGCCTACAACATGCCACATATGAGAAAGGGCGTTGCAAACAAACTGCAACAAACAACAAGAACATATCCATGCACTGCAACAACACACAAACGCAAGCACAGTACAATACAATTGAAAATCAACGCCACAGCAGAGGCCACACAACATTGCCACCACGCATCGTTTACCAACTGTGGCTGCAACGTGCGTCAATTCTATTTCCTACCTCATCCATCGCCGTGTAGTTGCTGATGTTAGTGTTGTTGATTTCACTGTTGCAACATTGCTGTCAACGATGCGTACATTATGAGAAACGCAAATGCCTGGCGGCATATTTCACAGTTGTCGCACGGTGTGACGCGTTCATAACTTTGTAGGCGGCAATGTGGCGTGCAATTTATTGGGTGTAGTGTAAGGGTCGCAGACGGAAGAAGGCCAGGGCTCATGTAAAATTCA